AGAAAAAAAAAACAGCTTTGGAAAAACTGCTTCCCCCCCACCAACTTTTTCGGGTTTCTTCCCATCTCTAGTTGGAACATGAGAAGAAAATAAGGGTTAGTTATTACTGGGTCTAGAGTACAAGGAAGAAAATCCTTGCTACAAATGGGGAAAAAAAGAGTAAATGTTCCTTCTCAATCCCCCTTGTCTTTTGACAGCTGTAATCTTTTATCTGCAGCCCAATTATTATCTACCCCCATAACATGGGAAGTTAACATTTTAGGTGCAAAATGCAGCGAGGAGAAGAGGCTCCTTTTACAACATTACTACTGTACTACTGTATGTGAATCAATGGCATGGATAACCTCATCTAATCATATCCTCGTCATTCTCCCTCAAGCCTGGACCTAGCTCACACAATCACACCAGAATCCCCTTCCCGCAGACTTATGTCCACCTAAATCTCTGCATTAAGACTGGTCTGCAAGAGTTGAGAGCTGTTTAGCAAACATTATACTGAGCACCAACTATTGCACACTGCTCATCAGAATACCAAATTCAGTTAAACTGTATAAGGCGCAAAATAATCACATCTTTCCCTTACAACTAGACGTGGGTGCCAGAAACTTGTCCTAACTGATCCCAAAGTACTAGGAAATCTCTTTCCTCTGCGTAAAGAGATGACAGATACCCTCGCTTCCCACAACGAATGCCCCGGAAAACTGCACAAACGTCAAGACAGGTAGGTGTTACATCGAGTTACACTTAAGAAAGTAGGGCTGCTGAGAGACTGAGTACAATATGTCAGACAGGTGCTCCTCAGGTACAGCGTTAGAAGCAGTCATGATCAACCGTGTGTCGGATCAGTATCTGCCTATTGAATATCCCCGGAAAAGTCAGCAAGTAAATCATCCCCCCCCCGTCCCAGTTTCAAGACCCACAGTAAGGCAGCTCAGAAGATCCTACGACGCCCCCCTCCCCGCAAACCTGAATCCTTCCGGCCCTCTCCCCGGAAAAGTCAGCAAGTAAATCACCCCCCCCCCCGTCCCAGCCGCAAGACCCACAGTATTTATTCAACACAGTAAGGCAGCTCAGAAGATCCCATGACACCCCCTCCCCGCAAACCTGAATCTTTCCGGCCCTGCTCGTTTGAACGCGGAAAGCAAATACTTTCGCCGCCCGGCCAACCCACCCAGAGGCCGGCCTCTCTCTCTCTCATCTCCAACTTCCACGTGTAGGGTCCCCTTTCCACCGAGCCCAAACTCCCGTACATCGGCCGCCCCCCTTCCTCTCGACTCACCCGGGGCTACAGCGCGGAGCGACCCGTCTCCCTCCGCTCACGAGCCCAGCCCACCCACAGGCTACGATCCGAGGGCGAGAGGCCTCGTCCCGCGGGTTGCCGCCGCTTCCTCCTTTCCCGGGCCAGCTCTCGTTTACGTCGCCTGGCCTGGCCTCCGGTGCCGCTCCCTCAGGGGCAGGGCCTCGCCACCTTTTCACCGAGCGCTCTGCTGGCCTCAACGGCCGCCTTTCCCGCAGCTGGACGGGGAAACACACTGGCTCACGGGCGGCGCTCTCCTTTGCGGCAAGCGGGAGCGAAAGCGGGGACAAATCTGCCGGGGCTTGAGGTGCGGAGCACAAAAAAGCAGAGCAGGAGCCGTTCTCGGCGAGTGTTTTGAGACGCCAGTTCAGATTAACCTCTCTCCAAAAAAATAAAATGCTGTAAATCGTCAGGAGCTTCCGTTTTTAATACTCATTCAACACCGGGAAGGGAAAGTTCTCTCCCTAAAAGACTTTTCTCTGATGTATTTCTAAACAGGAAATTTGTACCAACTGTATTAAAAATCAACAATTATGTCCTGTGTTTCCTGGTTCCCCTTCTACGAAAAGGTGGGAGGTCAAGTTGACGGTATTAACTTTGGAAACCGCAAGGCTGGACGACGTCTTTTATCAAACTAGTCTCCTTGGGTTTTTATAACAAATGTATTGAAATTTTCTCCATCTTGATTCATCTGCTGTAATAATTTTTCCTGAATCACTTGCTCAATCCCAGATGTTCTCAGCATCCCTCAATAGTCTACTTTCCACATTCTTTTATACAGCAGTAGCTTGGGTGAAGTCCATCATTCCATGCCATACAGCAGAATGGAAAGAATACACAACACTATACAATGCACATTCTCTCAGCCACTTACGTTTTTACTGCATCTTACATTCTTCATAATAAGGAAGCTGCCCTATTTTATCACACTAATGAGTGTACTGATCATTATACTAAATCATTGAGTAGTTTGTAAAAACTGGTGAAAAACAGGCCATAGTTCTGAAATATTATTTCAGATCGGACATTTGATACCATATGTAATCTTGTACCATCACGTCATATGCTTCAAAATTTATAACAGCTTACCAGTATCTGACAGAACTTTTCCATCCCTACTACCAATAGTTGTATCAGGTATCAAACTTCTGCTGTTAAAAATATGAAATGCATGTGTTTCACAACTTAATAGTCTTCCATTAAGCTAGTGCATATTGAGGTGGTCATGTTTCAGGGTGGATAAAAGTCAATTTTTTAAAAAAATTGATTTAAATCACATTTTAAATTTAAAAAATATTTTAAAAACATTTTTAGTAAATAAATCTAATTTTTTAAAAATTAAATCCATTGTGGATGAAACTCATTTCCATGTTAGGTTTGCTAGACCTTCTCCCTCCACCCCTTTCACAAGCTAGTGAAGGCAGAACTTTTAATAAAAGATTTTAATAATATTCTTCCCTTTCAGTAGTTTCCTGTTGAACCTCATTTGTACCATCTATCTCCATTGTTGCCACATAAATTTGTCGCTATCCTTTATTTTTGTTTTCATATTCAAGTCTAATTTTGCCATTTATCAGTTGGGACTAGGTTTTTAACTTTGTTAAACTGCCTTTCACTGAATGGGCAATATAAAAATTGAATAAATAACTAGGGCTTCCTCTCATGTGAAAGTGAGCTATGGGTTCTTCATATTACAATGACGGGTTTATAAAGAGCATGTGATTTGTACTCAGGCTCAGACTATGTTCCCTTTAAACTGCATGTGCAGAGTTCCATTGGAGCTGCGCACCAGTAACCAGTGTTGCCACCCATTTAGTTCCAGTTTGGGCTGGATCCCCATGTGTACATGTGGTGTGATTCCTGCACAGCATGGCCAAAAATTAGAGGGAATGGTGGGTTTGGATTATACTACTGTATATGTAAACCAATGTATTAAACAAGGACAAACCAATGTTGCAATAGCAGTGCAAATAATTTCACTTGAGAAAATATTTAAACTCATGTCTAATAACATTATTAACTAGAAAAATGCATGGAAGAATGAAAACACCTGGTACAAACAACAGTATTAGACAACTTCACATCACAAAAGTTTATATAATTAACAAAAAGTGTTATCTGAAAATATATTAACAAAACTTTTGTGAACACAATCCTAAATGAAGCAAGAGCTATGCTTCCAACAATTTTTGCTCACAACAGTTGCCTAGAGTTGCTTTTAACTAGAAAATACATGTGCAAATCAGTAATTTGGCATGTCAGTAATTTAATCTGGATTATCTTCACATATTAATGCCTTTGGCTCCTCTGTTTAGAACTAGTTCTTAAAACAATCCAGAACATATAAAAAATGTTAGACAGGAAATGAAGTCTTGGCATCCACAGCAGCCAGATCATTCATTTGAAAGGCTGAAGAACATCCCCTTAGAAGAATAAACAGAATTTCCAAACAAAATTTCAGGTTCTAATTTCCTGAGTCTGTAACTAATACGATTTCTGCACTTACATTAGTCCACCTGATATGAGCACTGCAAAGTTTGCTGAACCTTCAACACCTTTTCAGTTTTCTTATTTTCTCAGAAAGGAAACGACTGTTGTTCCTCAGTCTGAAATAGCAAGTGCAGTTTACTATACAAAAAACCATCAACCTCCTTGAATAATTTTTTTAACTGTTCTGCTTTTGTATATCAGAAATTTAGTTGTTGTCTTTTATCCACTGTTCAATCCACTGTATGATTTGATCTAAATTTCGTTCCATGTCCTCTGGTGTGTTGCTGGACAACTGATGTACTATTTCTTCCTTATAAGATGACATGGCTTCTTCATAAGCAGTCTGGAAAATTTCACACTGAATATTGTCTTGAAGCTTTTTTCCTTTGTAACCTCTAGGCCAAAACAGAGAGAAAAAAGCACTTAGATTAATTTGGAGCACTTTTTACATATAAATAAAAATAGAGCTTGAGATTAAATTGTTAAAAATAATGTAGTTGCCTGTACTGTAGATACTTTATTTTTGTCAACAAACACCACAAGTAAAATTTACAAAGTTACTTCTTATGTATAAAAAGATATTTAGGTATGTTACATAAGTGAAACAAGAATGTTTCCAGTTTGATGCCATTTTCTTATTAAGTCTGAGAAGAAAGGTAAGTATTTGACAGGTTTGGCCCCATTATTACTTACCTGGTTCTTTACAATATGCTAGAAGAGGAGAAACTGGCTCCTCCCCGCTCAACACCACTTTCTCCACATGGAGAAGAAAAAAAGTGTTCTGCTTATGTATAGATTCTACACATTAACAAGAATCTTGGGAAACTAGGGTCCTGGCTCACATGAAGAACCTACAGATGAGCAGAAACCTTTCCTGGTCAGACAAATTGTTCTCTACATGAAGAAACAATGGTGAAGAGAATGGAGCTAATGTCTACTGTCTAATCATGTTGCTGAGAACCCAGAAAGTAAGAACTTAATAGGGCTTTTGTCTTTTTACAAGTATTTCCAAGGCCATATAAAAGTTGGCCCCCAGAAAGAACCAGCACGTGTTCCCATGTATTTTTATAAGCTGTTGGTAAATAGATTAAAAGTGTGGCATTTGTTCTTTTAATAAGGGACATGGTGGCGCTGGGGGTTAAACTGCAGAAGCCTCTGTGGTGCAAGGTCAGAAGACCAGCAGTCATAAGATTGAATCCACGTGATGGAGCGAGCTCCCGTCGCTTGTCCCAGCTCCTGCCAACCTAGCAGTTCGAAAGCATGCAAATACAAGTAGATAAATAGGTACCACCTCGGTGAGAAGATAACAGCGTTCCATGTCTAGTTGCACTGGTCACGTGACCATGGAAACTGTCTACGGACAAATGCTGGCTCTACGGCTTGGGATGAGCACCGCACCCTAGAGTCGCATACTTTCAGGCTTACTTCCTGTGCAAAAAGGAAACTGTCTCTGTGTTTCCTATAAGGCCCAGGCTTTGTGAGAGGGGAAGTGCTTTGCAAATCCCCTATATAGATCGCTATGAGCCACAATACTACACCTCCTGCTAAGACCCAGGCCTCTGGGACAGTTTTGTTTTGTATAGGGCCAAGAAAGCCTGAAAGATAGGGCTTAGTTCCAAGTAAGCACAATGTTAAGTGTCTCTGGACAGGAACTCCCAGAATTCTGCCTGGGAAATTATTCAGAAAATCAAGGGATATGGAAGTCCACCCCACCCCCAAAGGCGCATTCCTAAAACAGATCAGAACATGCTAGTAATGTACAGTGGTACCTCGCTAAACGACGACCCCGCTGAATGATGAATCCGCATGATGATGACTTTTTGCGATCGCTGTAGTGATTCACAAAATAGTAATTCCTATGGGGGATTTTTGCTGGACGTCAATTAGGTCCGTGCTTCGCGAACCGTTTGTTCGCAAGACAACGATTTTTTCAGCTTCACAAAATGGCTGCCCCTGTGTTTTCTGAACCCATGTTTCGCAGGGCAGCCATTTTTACAGCTGATTGGCGCTCGCAAAATGGCTTCCCTATGGGCGATCTTCGCTGGACGACAAGGTATTTTCCCCATTGGAACACATTAAACCGGGTTTCAATGCATTCCAAAGGGGAAAGGGTTTTCGCATGGCAACGATTTCGCTAAACAGTGATTTTCCCGGGACGGATTATCGTTGTCATTCAGGGCACCACTGTACAACTTTTCAAAGCAACTGTACCACTAATAGCAACCTGATGGAGAGATAATGAACAATGCAACAGATTCCTTTTAAATTATAACATGCTAAAGTCTAAATAAAATCAGAAGTTGTGTATCTAGGAGAGGTTTTGTCTGAATTTGAATCTTGGTGGCATTTCATTTGCAGCACTGATTTACCTGCTTTCCAGTCTGTCATAAAGGAATGAATTTTCAGTGCGAAGCACAAATACGATGTCAAACCAGCGTTCAGGAAAGAAGTCACAGCTGTGATAATCAACTATAACACCACCATTACTCATCTTATCTTCAATTTCATCAATTACCTAGAGGAGAAATTAAACAAAGGAAACAATGATTATTGGCAATGGTCATTGGCAACAAAACAAAACTCACAACTGTGTTAAACTTTTAAACTTAAACTCACTCTATCTTCATCCAAAATTGGGCATTCATATTCTTCATCAAAGCCTTCATACAGTGTTCCTGCATAATTTGGAAGAAACTGAAAATTAATGCTATAGGATCACAGTCACATATGTCATGGCCAAGCATATAGATTAATCCATTCTGGTTGTTGGTACATATGTAACAGAAAATATAAGAAATGAACAATTTTAGTTAAATCAATCTTTAGCCTTGTTAAATATATTTCTTTTGGAGAATGCTAAAATTTACATAACAGTCTTGTCACATTTCTTTCTGTACATCAAGAAACAGCAAAGCACTGGAAAGATACAATAGATCTTCCCTTGAATTGATGATGCAAAAGAATATAGGGTCTTGTTTTACTTGAAAGATTAACAAAAGAAGCAAGGAATGGAAACAGCAATACAGATTTTAATATTTTTATCTCACTTTGGCTTCCATTTATTATTTATGTCCAGTCATATGGGAATAATACAATGAATGCTTGAAATATGCATGGGGATATTTGGAATAATATACTGGAGGTCTCTTGAACCTCTGTGTAAACCATATGACATGTTGAACCCTAAAAGGTATCTTTTTAACTGATGTGTATTTAAAATGTATCTTTTTAACTGATGTGTATTTAAAATGTTGTTCAGCAGTTGGTAATAAGAACTTAAGAGAAAAAGAATACAGTACAGTAAAAATAATCTATTGGAAAAGGAGATATGTGGCTTCTCCAATTATACTTTTTAAGTACTGAAAACCAACATATTGCACGTAATCAATCTGATTTTTTTAAAACAATATATTTCCACACAAATAAAATTTGCCTACAATTACCTAAAAAAAAGAGAGAAAATTATCAAACCACTGAAAACAGATTTATATCAACTGCCTCTTCAAACAGCTCACCAAACCTCCATGGTCCTCAGTGTACCTGAAACGTGCCTTAAGTGGTCAACAAACATGCACTTGAACACCTTAAGGCAGGCAAGAAACTGCTTTTGCTCAGGCTCATATGAATGACTGTAGCCCTGCTTTTAGTAGGAGTAGTTGTTTACTGAAGGTGCAGGGCACCTGCATGTACAGTAGGGGTGGGCAACTGTGGCCAATGCTCTGTCTGATTTTCCTCTAGCGCTGGGCGGGGATCCCACCCCCACACATGCAGGGTTCCAGCTGCAACCACAACCAAATGAGCAGCAACACTGGCTCCTGTCAGTTCTAACAAGCACATCAAATGGTGAACAACTGTGGTAGGTACAAACTAAAAAAAAATCTGGAGGACCAGAAGTTGCCCATGCTTGGGTCACAACAATGGACCTGCACTCAACAAACTTCCCCCAAGTTGGTTATTAATATAGAACAGCCTCTTTCCAAAGACACACAAGCTACCATACTTATATAGGCTAGGGCAGCAGGCCTAAACAAAGTGACTACCTGTTAATTCTCACTGAAATTAGTGTATTACTTTACTATAAAATAAATATGTCTAGGATCACTCTGTACCTAGTGTTTACATGGCTTCATTTCACGAAGGAGGTGATTGATACATATTTCCATTTGATAGAACAGAAAAATTTCATCCTATTTGGTTTTTGTCAAATGCTATTTCGTACAATATACTTTGTATGAAGATCATATCAGCATCTTTAGTTTGTTTTCAATTGTAATAATGTGTTGACTTTCAAATGATCACTACGAAGGAATTAATCTTAGAACATTGCTCAAAATGTTATTTTGTAATTTCAACAAAAGCAGCAGACAGAATGCACCTTTCATTAAACTTCAAAGCAGCTATAAACAAGCATATACTTCAGTCAGGTGAAATAACTAAATATTGTACTGTATAATGTTGTCTACCATATAGGAAGACCATATTGTCTGTTCATTTTTTGAATATAAATTGCACACCAAACTGAATATGCTATGAAACAAAAACTTGCCTGCTTTAGCCAAATCACCCACGTTGATGTAAGTCAAATCTGTTCTTGCAGCAATTTCTTTGCCTAGTGTAGTTTTCCCAACACCTGGAGTACCTACAAAGACACATATACCAAGAACAGCAATAATACTACAGTTCGGAAAAGTTATTTCTTTGGAATAAAGCTGCCTAAATTCTCCACAGCTAATCATTACACTGACTGAGGAATTCTGGAAACATTAGTCCAAAGTATAATTCTTTAGGCTCTGAAAGGATCATGCAACATGTCTAATTCAAGAAGAGGAGATGAAGACTAACCATTTAAAATACATACCTTTTACCCCTTAAAAGCTGTATCACTCTAGCCTCATTGTGTTGAAAAAGAACCACACATATTGCAGAAGAGAAATTGAAGAGTGTTGTGAAGTGGGCTGCACCACTTCCCAATGCAAACTGATGTATCCCTTTTTAAATCACTAGTTGTATTAAAATCTCCTGCATATTCAAACATATTACACAGATAAAGGGTCAGCTAGTTTATTGTTTGCACTGTATTCAAAATTATCATGGAGAAACATTCAAAACTGGATTCTGCACCCCATCAGGTCCAATCTATTCTATCAGGTGCCTTTTTTGGGGTACAGAATAGACCTTAATTATGATGCTTCCAATGAAATGACACCGACTAGAATAGAGCCGTGTGAAACGTATAAAACAACCTTCCATTATGCCATGCCCCTGGTTTATCTAGCACAAGACTAGGCACTTTGGGGTTAAACAGAAGGATCTTTCCCGGAGTTATACATAAGAGATTAGAAACCGAAAAGGTGAGAGAGTAAACCGAATAACTTCTGCTTGCGGGATGCTGCTCTTCCACAGAGCTAATGCCTTTTTCAAATTCCGTGCTAGTTACTTAACTTCCCGGTAACAGCGTCTGCTACAACCGATCACAGCTCTTACTCACTAGTACTTAACGCCGTCTCTCCTGTCCTGATGCCACAATCTGGGTTTTGCTCTTACCTGTGATCAAAAGATTGGGTCTTCTCATATTGGCTCTGCGGCGTCTTTCAGCGTTTCACCAGCTCCCTGGAAGACCACATGGATCAATCCTGGCCGGGGACCTTTACCAGCCCTCCCCTGGTAGGCGCATACTGATAGCGTCACAATCGCTTTTCCCCCTTTCTTGCTCTTCCGAACTAGACGGGCAGAGTGTGGGGAGGTGAATAAAAATAATAACCTCAAGCTTCTTGTCGCTTTGTCCCACCTTCGTAGGCAAGGCTGGTGTTTGGCTACGTGAGTTAAAGGCGAGTGGGCGCAGGCAGGGAGACGGGCGCTCCGGGACAGCTAAGCGCCAAAGCGTGCGAGAGGCCCCCGGTCCGAATGGAGGTGGCCGAAGTAAGGGAAGGGAAGGGAGGGGAGAGGGAAGGAGTGCCCGGGATTGGGATACGGGGCGAAAGTAGTGAGGCCGGGCCAGGTCCCCGGTGATGGGAGCAGTGCGAGGGAGAGCCTGGCTGGGCTAGGCAAGGAGTCAGGCTGGATAAAGCTGCTCTTTCTCGCGGTCTCGTACCGTTCCATGCCGGCCAGGCAGACTTCGCTTTAGCCGCAATGTAATTCTATGAATGTCCTTTTCCAGTGAGGTCCCGTTTGGCTCACTCGGGTCTCTCCCTGTAAACTACGCTTAAGGTGACAGGTAGAGGCTGCGCTTTCCTTCACCTCGTCCCTCGGCTCCACCGCTTCTCTATCTCATAGGAGCATCCGGCTGCTCTTCCACACACACCCACCTCGTGGTTTGCAGAGAGGAGTTGATATTGTGTCACAGGAAAGAGAAGCCTGAAGGAGCATGAACTTTCCTCGTGCTTTCCATCATCCTCATACCTCACACCAATTTAGGGGTGGATGTTAACCAATATTTATCTTTGAAGACATCAAGTAGTACCATGCCTATACTTGAGGGCAATTGGACAAACTTGTATGTGCTTTTTATATTGTGCAATTTGGTGGGACAGGATAATAATTTTTGAACATGGTGGTTTTTGCTGTATTTTTGGAAAACATCTCTCTTTTCCAATGAGGTCCCGTTTGCTCTTCTTATAGTAGCTCCTGCTACTCTATCTTGTCTGTATCTCCCAGAGACCGTTATTTTTCAATATACTTGATTAGTGGCCCTAAAGTGTCTGCACATACTGACTCTATAACTGCATAGTGATCCATTCTAAAGGTTTTGGGTAAAAACTTATCATTGTCTACTCTATTGTCATACTCCTAAATATTGCCACAGTATTTAAGGTTAGCATTGTGTCCAACTGCATCAACTTTTCTCTCATGTAACTGGTATCCTACCTTTAAATATTTGTTGAGTCAAATATTAATTGATGAATCACTGCCACAATCATACTGTCTCAGTGCACTTCTGAGTTCATTGTTGTTTTATTCGTAAACATAAAACCTATAGGGGTAATTAGCTGCAGAAAGGTCTTTTCATTCTCCAGGAAACTGACATAGGTTCTGAATCAAGGCCTATACAAGGGCAAAAATGGAAAGTTTGAGCACACTTTAAAAATTATGTATACCATGATGTGTAGCTTGGGCCACAATAAGAGTATATATACAGATGCAATCTGAAGTTTGGTTGACCAAGCTACATAGTTTCCATTAGTTTATGGCAGTTGCCTCTAAATGTGTGGAGAACTACATTGACTGAAACATGGATCTTTGAAAGATCTCACATACAGGCACCATCAAGCTGCATTGCATTGCAAATCAACACTCTAATAATTGCACAACCCTTTCTAGTAATTAGAAAACAGCAACAGCAGAATAATTAAGAGATGTTCCTGCAGCTCAGACAAACTGAACCATGGCAGTGCTATGAACTCTTTGTAAATGTTATTCTTGGTCCCCCCACCTTTAAAGTCTGATGGGAGAGAGTTAGAATTGCAGCATTATGGACAAGAGGGAAACAACAGTGCAACCCAGTGGACCAGATACTCTTTAGTAATTATTAATTGGCTTGTTGGCTTAGATGTGCTAAAATTCTTACCCTGAAAACATTCTTTAAGTGCATATTTTCACACTTTTTCAGGTGACATACAGTAATTTAGAGGACTGCCAGTCATCTGCTTCGAATGGAAACTACAGAGGTTGATGATGTCAAAAAGTCTTCCAAAAGAAATATAGCTCCAGCTAAAGTGGGTGTTTGCAACTTTAAATTATTAACAAAGATTCTCTCATTCTTTTGCAGGAGTTATGCCTGTGCAGTGAAGTACTGTTGTTCTTGTTTTCATTAAACTTGAGACCAGCCTACTATAGCTTAGACATTACTGTTAATTTTTTAAGGCAAAGGCTGCAATTTATACTCACTTTTTAAGTCTCACAGACCTCAGTGGAACTTTTGAGTAGACTTCAGTAGGCATGTACTGTAAGCAGCATTAATGGAAAAATTATCCTTGAATATAGGATGTCTACTTTCCCAATAAATGAGTAAAAAAGGAACATGTTGAATGAATGAATGAATTCATGTACTCATTCTAAACAAATATATTTCACTATATGCACCTTCTCAAATTTTAACTGGGAGGCTGTCCTACTAGCACTCTCATGAGGACACCAGTGATGTTTTCTTCATTGCTACACCCAGACTATGCAAATCCTTTTCATGGGAGGACTCTTCTCTGCTGGTCTGCCATTTACAGGCAGAGACCTTTCTCTTCTGGCTTTTGGTCAATGAAGAGGCTGTGGAGAAAAGACCTTTTAATGGGGGATGCTGCATGTTGAGCTCTTGAAATGTTTTAATGTAAGTTAGTAGTTGCAATTACACATGTAACAATGATAGCATTAATTGCACAATCTGAGCAACCTTTTTCAAAAAATAAATTTTGTAAGCTGTATTTGATCTCTGCACTGGGAGCAAGGCAAGATACAAGTAAATGGCCATAAATAATTTCATTCATGTCTGTTTTGTGTATACTTTGCATGTTTCTAATTTTTTGTGTTCATTAATAGATAATGGTTGAAATCCAGTAATAAGTTGCAACTAGAGTAGGCCCATTTAATGAGTAGAAGTTGACTCACCAAATCCCCATAAATTTGCTGAGCTTATTCTGGTTGCAAGATACTATTGGATACAAGTGGACCCTCTGCTTACGGAATTAATCCATATTGGAACAGTGGCTGCAGGTCGAAAAGTCTGTAGGTTGAGTCTCCATTGATCTACAATGCATTGAAAACCAATTAATCCCGTAACCGGCCATTTTTGTTCCGTTTTGGTTTTTTTCTGGTCTGTAGGTCGATTCTCAGGCTGCAAGTCGAACCTAAATTTTGCGGCCAGAGAAGTCTGTAACTCGAAAAGTCTGTCAGTCGAGCCGTCTGTAAGTCGAGGGTCCACTGTATCAGTCTTTGTATTCCAACGCGATCGAACTAATATAAGCACTCTATTATGATTGCAAGGGAATATTAACGTTTCACACTAGTCTACTGTAAAGACAAATGGTGATAAAATATTTATTAGTTTTAGAATTAAAAATTAGTACCATTAAGTAACTTCTGCATACTTCCATTTTGTCAGGTGTCTGACTGGGTGAAGCCATCATTTACTGATTTCTCTAAGAGTACAAGTGCATCATCTAGCATTCTTCATACGAAGTCAACTACAGATACCTACCACTGTCAGAAGAGGAAAGAACATTCCCTTCCCGTAGAAACTTGCAAGAGTAAGAGGAAGAAAAATAAACCACTTCCTATAGATGAGAGCTATAAGCCCTCCAAACAAAATCATAACCTGACTGAACCATGGGTCGATAATTACAAACCCAAAACTCAGGTAAAAAGTAATTTTGGAATGTATTAATTAAACAAGAAAAACAAAGAATTGCCATACTATTCTGAAGAAAGTTAATACTGTCTGATTTCCAAAGGTTCTTATGGTTGGACTGGGTTAGCCCTCAGTTGGAAACCATTCATGATCTGCAGAGAGGTTCAGAAAACAGTCTTACTTGAAATGTGAGGGACCTGTTAACAATAATGGTCTTGCTTAGTATAAAGCAGCTTTTAGGTTTCTATATCTTTTTTGAAAATACCACCTTATCATCCTAAAGCTGGCTGGATAGCTCAGTGGTTTAGCTATCTGACTGTGGAGCCAGAGGTGGGGAATTTAATTCCTCACTGTGCCTCTTGGGAGCACAGCCAACTTGTGTAGTCATGGGCAAGCTACATAGGATAACACCAGAAGAAGAGAACAAACAACTTTTGTGTGTCCTCTCCTTCAATCCCTCCCCAAAAAGTGTTACCATAAGTTGGAATCAACGTTATGGCACACAGTACATATTGTTGTGCAATTTGGAAAGCTAAGCAGGACCTGTTCTGCAAAGGAGGCCACAATTTGAAGATAATTTCATATTTTTAACTCAATAGGTGCAATATGTAATGGGCTTAATTATTTTATATATTGTACTTTATTGTACAGTAGATTTTATTGTCTTAATACTTGTCTTATATTTTGGAAAGCTTTGTATGCCTGTACTGGAGGGAAAAGACAGGGTTTATATAAAATAAATGAATGGGTGTACAGGAAGGATTAGGAACAAATCCTGCCTGAGATCTGGAGAGCCACTACCAACTCAGAACTGACCATACCAAGCTAGATTGACATGGTCTGACTTGATATAAGGCTGATCCTTACATTCCTTCTTGAAATGACAAAGGGAAAGGGAAAGAAACAGATAATTTAGGAAGACCAGTATTCTGCTTCCATATCCACGTACACAGTTGTAATCACATAGCACTTTGCAGCATTTGATGGGGTGCTAGACACTGCCAAATGCTCCAAACCGCATGCATAACTGTTTGAAAAGTGGAGACATTTCAACAGAATACTGGCCTGAAAAATTTTACATAGTGATATCCATAAAGCAAAACTGTGTGAGGTGCATGTTAAGGCTTCTAAGTGGATTTGGAACTTTGTTCATTTCAAATCCATAGGGCCCTGTGAGAAATGTTTTTCAAGGGTGGGCTACAAAGAGACCTTGGATTGGATCTGAAGGAACCTAATCTGGATCAGTTTCCAATTAATGGCCCAGAAGTCTGGGTGGTAGGCTAGGGTTCAGTGTAAAATAGCTCAAAGCATGACAGGCTTTCTGGCACAAATTACATACTAAAAACAAAGGAAAATACAGCTGGTTATTTTGCTTACTAGTATGTCTTTAACTTCTACCACAAACACTAAGAACTTGCTGAATGAATACTCTCAGTAGAATTTCATGTTACATTTTAGTATACAAATATTTTGCTATATGTGTCTTATATGTACATTTCTAAATCTCTTTGTTTACCAGAATGAGCTTGCGACCCACAGAAAGAAAATTGAAGAAGTTGAAGCATGGTTAAAAGGGCACATGTTTCAAAAGCATCCTAAACAGGTAGAATTCATTTACCAGATTACTTGATAGTAACTTCAAGTTTAACTTAAAGTCAATAGATTCTTACTTATTAAAGTTGCAACAGCTATTATTTTGGTAGTTCTTTGTCAGAAATGGGAAGGAGCAAATTTTTCGCATTATATTTAATTTTGCTGCAGTATTTTTTTTTAAAAAAAAAACTTGCTGTGCTAAATCTTACCAGCAGACCAGTGCAGTAACCTGCACAGAAGAAAATTGAGTCTATCCATGATTCTGCTTGGATATTTGCTGAGGCATTTGCAAAACACCACTGCTACCTGTTTTCTTTTCCCACATTCATTGTTGATTTTATTCAATCCAACTTTTCATTTTTTCTCTCTCATTTTCTTAATAATGATAGAACTTACCGGTAATAAGCTTTTTATTTCTGCTTTGTCCTATACTTCCCTTCAGTGTTTGTCATTATCCAGTAGACAGCTGATCATATGTTTATTTAACTGTGGTGACATTTTGAATCATTGGCAATGTATCTCTGATTATGCCATGTCTTCTTGTAGGGAGGCTCTATTTTATTATTAACTGGTCCTCCAGGATGTGGCAAATCTGCAACTTTGGACATAGTAGCCAAGGACCTTGCCATTCAAGTGCAAGAATGGATAAATCCTGTTCCTCTAGACTTCAAGAAGGATGGTGATCAAGATGCTTTCCACCATGGTAAAATTAACAGAAAAAATTCAATAACTTCCAAACGTACACAGTTGTAACCACATAGCACTTTGCAGCATTTGATGGGGTGCTAGACACTGCCAAATGCTCCAAACCGCATGCATAACTGTTTGAAAAGTGGAGACATTTCAACAGAATACTGGCCTGAAAAATTTTACATAGTGATATCCATAAAGCAAAACTGTGTGAGGTGTATGTTAAGGCTTCTAAATGGATTTGGAACTTTGTTCATTTCAAATCCATGGGGCCCTGTGAGAAATGTTTTTCAAGGGTGGGCTACAAAGAGACCTTGGATTGGATCTGAAGGAACCTAATCTGGATCAGTTTCCAATTAATGGCCCAGAAGTCTGGGTGGTAGGCTAGGGTTCAGTGTAAAATAGCTCAAAGCATGACAGGCTTTCTGGCACAAATTACATACTAAAAACAAAGGAAAATACAGCTGGTTATTTTGCTTACTAGTATGTCTTTAACTTCTACCACAAACACTAAGAACTTGCTGAATGAATACTCTCAGTAGAATTTCATGTTACATTTTAGTATACAAATATTTTGCTATATGTGGCTTATATGTACATTTCTAAATCTCTTTGTTTACCAGAATGAGCTTGCGACCCACAGAAAGAAAATTGAAGAAGTTGAAGCATGGTTAAAAGGGCACATGTTTCAAAAGCATCCTAAACAGGTAGAATTCATTTACCAGATTACTTGATAGTAACTTCAAGTTTAACTTAAAGTCAATAGATTCTTACTTATTAAAGTTGCAACAGCTATTATTTTGGTAGCTCTTTGTCAGAAATGGGGAGGAGCAAATTTTTCGCATTATATTTAATTTTGCTGCAGTATTTTTTTTAAAAAAAACTTACTGTGCTAAATCTTACCAGCAGACCAGTGCAGTAACCTGCACAGAAGAAAATTGAGTCTATCCATGATTCTGCTTGGATATTTGCTGAGGCATTTGCAAAACACCACTGCTACCTGTTTTCTTTTCCCACATGCATTGTTGATTTTATTCAATCCAACTTTTCATTTTTTTCTCTCATTTTCTTAATAATGATAGAACTTACCGGTAATAAGCTTTTTATTTCTGCTTTGTCCTATACTTCCCTTCAGTGTTTGTCATTATCCAGTAGACAACTAATCATATGTTCATTTAACTGTAGTGACATTTTGAATCATTGGCAATGTATCTCTGATTATGCCATGTCTTCTTGTAGGGAGGCTCTATTTTATTATTAACTGGTCCTCCAGGATGTGGCAAATCTGCAACTTTGGACATAGTAGCCAAGGACCTTGCCATTCAAGTGCAAGAATGGATAAATCCTGTTCCTCTAGACTTCAAGAAGGATGGTGATCAAGATGCTTTCCACCATGGTAAAATTAACAGAAAAACTTCAATAACTTCCAAAAAACCCTAAGTAATTTGAATGTTTTTGATTGTGATCTGAAGCCCATCAGAGAAAGTTCTATTGAAGTTAATAGGACTCACTTCTACTTAACCAATTCTAACGCAGCCTGCTGCTTTAGATGTGCTGGATAATCTTCTACAACAGACTCCTTTTTGTAACCTGTACTGTATCAGCAGTTCAAAGTTGATATATGAAGCAACAACGAGAGGGGACAGTTAGGCAGCTACTTGAAACACAAGCCTCAAATACTTCAAAACATGCAGACCTAACTGGACAGATTTCATTATTGCAGTTACTGGTCCAGTTTGTATATTGTGCTAAGTGGTTTCAGCATTACAGGAACAAGCTGCAACAAGTCTCCTATTTGTATTTTCTCTTTCCTGCCTTTTACATGAGTGGAAGGAGAAGATCAGAAATTTCTATATCCATTTAAGATATAACTGTGCTTCAGGAAAAGCCAAATCCATGAACTATGAGCTGGCATTGCCTTGTTTCTACCAACCAGGAACAAATGCTAACAAACACAGTGTATTTAGGATCAAATTGTCATCTCTTTATATTAATTGGCAGATAATGGATTGATGCTTTCCATGATAGGTGGTTTCAACTGTGTTACAAAGGCGAGTGTTCTGCCAAAAGGCTTGGCAGATAATGGATTGATGCTTTCCATGGTTGGTGGTTTCAGTGGTTAAATCCCAACTGTGTAATAAAGGCGAGTATTCTGCCAAAAGGACAGAATTCTGTTCATAGTGGCATAATTGCATAGTGTGAATTACAGTGTTGAATGGCCACTAGTTAATGAGTCATCACTTGTATTCCTAATTACATGCCTTGCTGACACACTTTGAGGAATATAAGCAGCAACTCCTTAACTGGTAGCAATTCACTATTGTGATTTATGAAGGTGCTAAATAATAGAATTCTTGCTATTGTTTGTTTTTTTTTAATTTAAAAAAAAGATGTATTTAATTAGCTTTTCTGTCCCATAGTTCTTAGGCTTGGAAGCAAAATGTAAGCCTCTCTTTCTGTACTGGTTACTGCCTTGCACAATGATTAAGCACTTGAATGCTGAGTAGAAACACAGTTAAGGATAATCTGATCTTTCAGACAAGCTGTACCTTGTATTCTGTAATGGATTTTTTCTTGCTGCTGATGGAGAAATATAGAACATAAGGATCAATTCTGCCTGCTTAGAGATAAGACATACTTTTGCAGCCTATCTAGTAGTGTAATCTACATGTCTAGCAGATTTTGGCCTTGCTATCTTGCTGTCTAGTTAGCAAACAGTGATAATGAAAATTGCACTAAAGCATAGAATTCAAAACGGAAAGCTTCTGCTGAACTGAACTTTCACATTCATATATACTGTATAAGGTTATATAGTATATATTGCAAAATGAGCTCTTCTGTTTAGAACCCCATTTTCAGATGCTTCCTTATCAGAGCCAGCCAGCTGTCTTCCAAGAGTTTTTGTTAAGAGCAAGCAAATATGCCCGTCTTCAGATGGTTGGAGAATGCATGGGAAATGACAAAAGACTTATTCTTGTGGAAGTAAGTGGAAGATCGTTTAAGATTTTGGTCACATATTTAATGGATTAATTAAATTGATATTCCCACCTCCTTATTTCTGATATTTATTTTTTAAAAAGCCAGTTTCTCAGAAATAGGCTGTTGACTAAGAAACATGCCCTTATAATCATGTAGGCACCAATAGCTCAGTGCAGAACAAAACAGTGTTCCTGCACCTTCATGAATTAGTAATGAAAGACATTAATTCATAAATGACCGCTACTTGAAATATGCATTCTGCTTAAACATGATTTTTTAAAAATTGCTTTCAGCGCTGAAATTTGTAGGCACTACAGGCCCAATTTAACAGCCTTTATCTGATGTTCCATTGTGATATCTAGGGGGAGGATTTCTGTGACAGATCATATTTTTTTTCTTCAATTTATATTTGAGTTTATGGGTACGTTTGAATATATTTATGAGTAATGTGGTGAGAAAGGACAGATTACTCAAACATGTTTTAATTTGCTTATGGGTTATATGTAGGTTGCAGAATGTTGATAGGGTTCATTAACAGCATCTGACAGTTCCTTAGTTTTGGCGGGAAATGATAGGAGAGGCGTTTCTTTAACAGCAAACTCCTTATTAACAGAACTCTTAGGTGTCTCAACAATAACTTCTGTAGGGTCAACGTGACCAAAGTCTACAGGAAAATCTGTCCATGGTAAAGGTAAACTTCCTCCATAGCTTTCTTTCCTCAACGGGGAGAGTGCCCGAATCTTTCCTGATTGGTCATTTTTCACAAACATCCACTCCTCACTGTGCATATAGTCCCGCAACAGGGGTGATGAGACCAGTCTCCCTCAGGTGGCTTCTGATTCGGCTGGAGAGGTCCCAGACGGATTACCTTCCTCCAAGGACCCCGGCCTCGAGGGTACACCAACACAGTCCATTCTTCTGGCCCTATAACTTCTATAGGTATTTTTACATTGCCCTCTTTTCACTAGGCTCTCATGCCTCCCATCTCTTATCTCTTTCTTCTGTGATATTTTAAATACTCTCAGATGCCACTCATCTTCCAAAACTTACCACCTTTTTCGTCTCCCCTGATTTGTCTCCCTCCTCCATCGTCAGGAACACATCTACCCCCTTCTTCTTTTCCAACTCCTCCCCCTTTTCTCCCGCTTTCAGCCCCTTCACCTCTTCCGTAACCACCTCCTCTATAGATTTGTGAGGGGACGGCTCTGTCTCTCTCTCTCTTCCACGCTTTTATTCTCCAGCTCACAAAATGTGAAATGTCATAAAAATCCTTCTCCTGCAATCACTATTGCTTGTCGAGCCCTTTTCAGAGGGGTTGTAGCCCAGGGGCAGAGAATGCATGTGGAAAGTCCTTAGTTCAATCTCCAACATTTCCAGGTAGTGTTTGGGGAATATCCTTTCCCTGTTCCCTGCATAATCATTACATTTCTGCACTGAGTTAGATGGATGTTCTGTCTCTGTATAAGGCAGTTTCTGATGCAATGCTTAAATAATGGCATTCAAAGTGTGTCTGAAACACTTCTTCACTACAGAGCTATTTGTCATGGTCAGCCTGGCCAAGATCCAGGAAATCACACAGCTATGAAATCATGCACTCTATGTGGGCCTGCGGCATAATCATTACATTTCTGCACTGAGTTAGATGGATGTTCTGTCTCTGTATAAGGCAGTTTCTGATGCAATGCTTAAATAATGGCATTCAAAGTGTGTCTGAAACACTTCTTCACTACAGAGCTATTTGTCATGGTCAGCCTGGCCAAGATCCAGGAAATCACACAGCTATGAAATCATGCACTCTATGTGGGCCTGCGGATGGAAAGTATTTGTCATGGTCAGCCTGGCCAAGATCCTGGAAATCACACAGCTATGAAATCATGCGCTCTATGTGGGCCTGCTGATGGAAAGTGTCAGGAAGCTTCAACAGACCCAAAGTGTAGCAACCAAATTGCTGATTGGGGCCGGTTACAGAGATCACGTGACCTCCCTGTTACAGCAGTTCCACTGGTTGCTGATCAGTTACCGGGCACAATTTAAAGTGCTGTTTTTAACTTGTAAAACCTAAATGGCCTGCGTTCAAGCTGTCTCAAAGACCACAGTGGAGGCTTGACTGACGACCATAATCTGTCCCAGAAGAGGGGCATAACTCAAAAAGGTCGTAAATCAAAGCACCATTTCCCATAGGAATGCGTGGGAACTGGATTAATCCGTTCCACCATTTTAAAAAAATACCAAAACCCCCCCCAAAACACCATCCATTCCAGCATTTTAAAAAAATACCAACCCCCCCCCCCAAAACACCGCAAGCACCATCGGAACATGATGGGGCTGCAAACAACAACAACAAACAAACAAACAAAGCCAGTCCCATCGGAACACGTTGGGGCTGCAAAAAAAAATCATCCAAAAAACAAACAAAGCCAGTCCCATCGGAACGCGTTGGGGCTGCAAAAAAAATCATCAAAAAAAACAGAACAACAACACAGCACAGAAACATAACCCCTCCCCCTGCCCAAGCCCTCCCTGCAAAACCCTGTAAATGTACTCACCCAGGAGCAGAAAGCAGCACCAGGCAGTCTGAAGCCTCCTCAGATGCACACACTCTTAATTGCTGGGGCGAAAGAGCTACAAAGTAACTCTTTCTCCCCAACGGTTATTTGAATTCCCTGCCTTTTCCCCTGCTCTTTTATGGTTGCAACTCAAAGCTCTGGCGGCAGGTTGATGCAGAATTTTGCAGCCGGAGCTCGTCGCAACTTGAAATGGTCGCATGTTGGGACATTCGTAAGTCGAGGCACCACTGTGTCTCCCATTGTAAGCCAGCTTGGATGTTAAGATCATCAGGAGAGGCCTTTCTCTTGGTCCCATCACCTTCACACAGGTGAGTCTGATGGGAACACAGGAGAGGGCCTTCTAATTTGCTGCATCCATACTCTGGAACTTCTTCAGCCTGGCGCCATCTTTGAAATCCTTCCACAAGCAGGCAAAGACCTTTCTGTTAAGGCAAGCCTTCCCTCAGTAACCAAATCACGGTATGTGATTTTTAGATAGATTGTTATACATTATTGTTTTGACTGTATTTTTAGTGCTAGTGTTTTCCATTTTTATATATTCCATTTCTCAGAGTGACATTTTCTTTGTATACTTATTGATCTTTGCTTTAGTATTGCCTGTTAATGTTGTAAGATGCCTCCTTATTCATTGTTCGTATTTTTAAATATTGCCTTTTAATGATGTTAACCACCATTGTATAGTCATTGTTTTCAAATTTAAATATAGTTTTTCATTGTTTTGTAAGCTGCCTTGGGTCCTTTTCAAGGAGAAAGATGGGGTAAAAATATTTCAAGTAAATAAATAAAATAAATATTCCTTTGTTTCCAAATGGCATCTGGACCAGAATCCCATCCCTAGTGCTGTATGGCAAACAATTTTGGCAGGTTCTTAAAAATTTAGCTAGTCTCCAAAGTAATTTATAATGCAACATGATGAGTCCATTGGGAACACAGATACATTTTGAGTCATCTTAATCCGTTTCTGGACTCATCATGTTTATCACGTTGAAAATCCCAAGTGAAATAAATCCACAGCTGTATTTGCATTATATCAGTGGTTCTAAAAGACTTAAGATCAGTTACAATACTAGTCAGCAGATACAACAGAATAACCACATTGCATCCGCTTTTTAACAGGATATGCCAAACCATTTTTATTATGACCCTAGCAGTTTACATGAAATATTGAGGTGAGTATAAAGTTCTGTTCAAAATTACATTTTCAAAAGTAATATAATGTGTTGGAATGGAGCTAGTTTCCAAGTGTTGACAAGTAAAATTTCAAGTTAAAAAATACTTTTTAGGGCCTTTTGACAAGAATCTTTAAAATTTTATAACATTGAATTTGAAATGCATAAAGTTAATAGAAAGTAACAAAAAAGCAGCACAACAAGCAGCATATCAAGTTACTTCAGTGAGTAACAGCAATAGGTTACTTTTTCATATGCCCAAAGAATAATAGAAATGAATTACTTTCAAAAAGTAACTTTCTGTGCTTTGCACACTATTATCCATATCCCTTTTTGCCTTTCTGTTAAGAATTGGAAGGAGAGAGTAGGTAACATTCCAAAGTAGGGGGCAGAAGTGGCTGGGGGGCTTCACATTGCTATCATAAACTTTTATTGATTGGTGGTCACCATTAATGTTTTTAATGTTAAGATTGTGACTTCATTTTCCATTCTAGGCGGTTTGTACGGACAGGCAGATGCCCTCTTGTATTTATAATATCAGACAGCTTCAGTGGAGCCAGCAACCAAAGGTCTCTCTTCCCAAAGGAGATTCATGAAGAGCTTTGCATAACTAATATTAGGTAAAGAGATCACAAATTGCATTCAACTCAACTGCGGAGTTCCTATATAATAATTTATTTTGACCATGTTTTTCATCAATTTTCTTAGTTTTAACCCAGTGGCTCCAACAATAATGATGAAGGTTCTAAATCGAATAACTGCAATAGAGGCAAATAAGGTAGGAAAAACTGAAACAGATTTTGGATAATTCAGTGTGATAATATTGTAAAGGATGTAATGGGTAACTTTGGGGTTCCATTCTGAAATAATTAGGGGTTGTCCAACAACCAAGAGGTTTCTGAAGCTTGGCATTTCAGTTTGGGTCTTGAAACAGGGCACAGAGCATGTATCTTGTTTACATGCTGATTAACACTACAAGAAGTGCTGATGGCCTCTTAAAGGAACTATGTGCTACCCAATCCTATTATCACTCATCCACATTCTTCTTTGCATCTGACCTCCAGAAGCACTGAATACTGTATTCCTTGTTTCATGGGCACACAGCAGCCCTGTACTTTGCCTTTAAAACAAAACATGTAGTATTTGTGCTGTCAAATTTCAGTTGTGAGACTATCCAGGAAGCAGGAAGAGGAGGAGGGGGGGATGTGCAGCCAGTCCTGGGCTATGTGTTGCCAACCCCTTTTGTGAAGGGTGAGGGAAGTACATGTTAGCCAGAACCCTTTTAGTGATACTACCTCACATAACTCCTTCAGTCTAACTTTCAGGGGCAAATGGCTGCAAGTTAAAAAATCAAGGTAGATATTTTCTGCCACACACCAATCTCATTCTTTAATGTGTGTCTGCTGCCTTCTCAACTTGCAGCATTTGATAATTGAAAGTTATGCTGATGGTGTTGTTGTTGTTTAGTCACTTAGTTGTGCCCGACTCTTCATGACCCGATGGACCAGAGCACGCCAGGCCCTCCTGTCTTCCACTGCCTCCCGGAGTTGGATCAAATTCATGTTGGTAGCTTCAGTGACAATTTCCAATCATCTCGTCCTCTGTCGTCCCCTTCTCCTCTTGCCTTCACACTTTCCCAGCATCAGGGTCTTTTCCAGGGAGTCTTCTCTTCTCATGAGATGGCGAAAGTATTGGAGCCTCAGCTTCAGGATCTGTCCTTCCAGTGAGCCCTCAGGGTTGATTTCCTTCAGAATTGATAGGTTTGATCTCCTTGCAGTCCAGGGGACTCTCAAGAGTCTCTCCCAGCACCACAATTCAGAAGCATCAATTCTTCAGCAGTCAGCCTTCTTTATGGTCCATCTCTCACTTCCATACATCGCTACTGGAAAAAAACCATAGCTTTGACTATGTGGACCTTTGTTGGCAAGGTGACGTCTCTGCTTTTTAAGATGCTCTCTTTATATTGATTTGGTTTTAATGGTCTTTAATTGTAATAAAGTATACTACTAAGATGCTGTCTAGGTTTGTCATCGCTTTCCTCCCAAGAAGCAGGCGTCTTTTAATTTCATGGCTGCTGTCACCCTCTGCAGTGATCACGGAGCCCAAGAAAGTAAAATCTGTCACTGCCTCCATTTCTTCACCTTCTATTTGCCAGGAGGTGATGGGACCAGTAGCCATGATCTTAGCTTTTTTATGTTGAGCTTCGGACCATTTTTTGCACTCTGCTTGGTGCAAATATAAAGCAGTGAAACCAGGGCAAAGGAGTTAATATTGCAGTCCTTCCAAAAACAGAGGTTAAACTTTATTAAAGTGTGTCAGATTTGGGAAATAGTGCTGTGTTAATCTTAAAAATACTCACTTAACCACAAAGATTGCTAATAAAACTGATCAAGGCCACCAACCTGCCCAACCATACAGATTTTGTGTGAAAATAAGTGAAATCCATGTACAGTGCTCCAAGCTCCTTTTGAGGAATGGAGTTAATAAAACCAAATAATAAATGGATGCTTTGATCTGGAAAGGTGTGGATACCTATAAAGTTTTCACATACAGTGGTGCCAAGCATAGCGATGTTAATCCGTTCCGGATTAACCATCGCTATGAGAAAACATCGCTATACGGATAGGAAAATGCGTTCCAATGGCTTCTACACTCACCATAAAGCGATGTTTCCTCATAATGGCAGCCATTTTCGCGCCCTCGGTAAGCGAGGGCAGGGCGCGAAAATGGCTGCGGC